TTAGCTCATAGAACATGCTTAAGTAAATGCAAAGGAATTGAAATAACATCTTGCCTATTATCAGACCACAGTGTAATGAAATTGGAAATCAAGGGGAAAAAAAAAAATCACAAGAACTTCATAAACACATGAAAACTAAATAATACTGTCCTGAACAACCAATGGGTGACAGATGAAATTAAGAAATAAGACAGTTTCTACAATTAAATGATAATGACAATACAAAATACTGGAACTTATGGGATGCAATTAAAGCAATCCTATGAGTGAAATTTATAGCCGTGAATTCCCATTATCAGGAAATACAAAGGGGCCAAAACAAACAACCTAATGTTGAACCTCAAGTTTCAAGAAAAAGAAGAGCAAGTCAAGCCCAAAGCTTGTACAAGGGAGGAAAATATAAAAATCAGAGCAGAAATTAATGCAATGGACACCAAGAAAACAATACAAAGAATCAATGAATTGAAGAGTTCTTTGAAAGATTAAATAAAATCAACAAACCCTTAGCCAAGCTTATCAAAAAAAAAAAAAAAGGGAAGGAAAAGACTCAAATCCCTGCAACTAGGAAAGGAAGGGGTGAAATCACAACATATCCTGCAGAGATCCAAAATATCATTCATACTTACTTTGAGAACCTGTAGTCTTAGAAGATGGAAAATACAGAAGAAATGGACAGATTCCTAGATACATAAGAATTTCCAAATGAACAGATGGAAATAAAGTGTTTGTAGATGGGGAGGGGAGGAGGGGGGTGAAGAGAGGGCAGAGGTAAGGGGAAAAAATGAGAATCAAGACTTGTCATGTAGAGGTACAAGATCCCAACAATGAATATAACTGTACTGTATCCCTAAAATGTACCAATAAACTCAATTAAAGCTAAAAAAAAAGAATTTCCAAAACCCAATCAAGAAGATACAGAAATTCTAAGTAAACTAATATCAGCTATTGAAATTGAATATGTAATTTAAAAACTACAAAGAAAAGCCCTGGCCCTGATGGAGTCACTGCTGAATTTTACAAGAAATTTAGAGAAGATCTAATGTCACAACTTTTCAAACTCTGTAATGCAATTGAAAGGGAAGCAATACTCCCAAATTCATTCCTGGAAGAAAGCATTACTCTGATTCCAAAACTAGAGAAGGATCCAACTAAAAAGGAGAATTACAGGCCAATCTCCCTAATGAACATACATGCAAAAATGTTCAATAAGGTACTGGCAAACAGAATGCAGCAAATCATCAAGATTATACAGCATAATCAAGTTGGATTCATCCCAGGGGTGCAGGGATGGTTCAACATATGAAATCAATAAATGCAATACACTATATTAACAAATCCAAGGACAAAAACTATATGATCCTCTCAATAGACGCAGAAAAAGCATTTGACAAGACCAACATTCATTCACAAGAAAACCCCTACAAAAAATTAGGATAGATGGTCTTTATCTCAATCTGGTAAAAGCCATCTATGACAAACAAACAACCAAAATCCTACTAAATGGACATTTAGTAACTGAAAGCTTTCACTCTAAAATCAGGAATACAAGGACACAAGACAAGACTGTCACCACTCTTGTTCAATATAGTCCTGAAAACACTAGTCAGGGCAATTAGACAAGAGAAAGAAATAAAAGGAATAAGGATGGGAAAGGAAGAATTTATATTATCATTATTTGCAGATGACATGAAACTACTCTACACAGAAGACACCAAAAACTCTAACAAAAAACTTTTAGATTTGATAACCAAATTCAGTGGCATATCTTGATAAAAAGTCAACACTCAAAAATCAATAGATATTCTGAACACCAATAACAGATTATGGAGACAGAAATTAGAGCAAAACCCCTTTCACAACAGCATCCAAAAAAAGAAAAGAAAAGAAAGAAAGATATATAGGAATCAATCCAACAAAGGAAGTAAAAGACCTCTACATTGAAAACTACAGTACTGTGAAAAAAGAGACTGAAAAAGATAATCAGAAAATGGAAAGATATCCCTTGGTCTTGAATAGGAAGACGCAATATAGTGAAAATGGCCATACTTTCAAAACTGTTATACAGATTTAATGCAATCTCAATCAAAATCCCAACAATATATTTCACAGAATTAGAAAAAACAATCCTAAAATTCATTTGGAACCAGAAGAAACCTAGAATAACAAAGCAATTCTGGGCAACAAAGGCAAAGCAGGGGCTATCATAACCCCTGCCTTTAAATTATACTACACAACTATGATAGTAAAAACAGCAAAAGAACAGACCTAGAACAGACTAAAGGATGCAAAAACAACTCTAGATATATTCAACCACCTTGACAAAAGTGCCAAACACCTTCACTGGAAGAAAGTTAGCCTCTTTAATGAATGGTGCTGGTGAAACTGGCTTTCCACGTGCTGAAGTCTGAAACTAGACCCATTATCTCTCAGCACACACTAGCCTAAAATCAAAAATGGATCAAAGATCTAAATATTAAAACAGAAATACTAAATCTGTTGGAGCAGAGAATAGGTAGAATGCTTGAAGACATAGGAGTAGGCAAAGATATCATAAACAAAATCCAGACCACACGGTAAATACTACAAAGAACCAACATCTGGGGCTTCATCTTATTAAAAAGTTTTTGCACAGCAAGAGAAACTACCAACAGAGTGAAAAGACAACCCACAGAGTAGGAAAAAATTTTTTATTCAGATAAAGGATCATTATCCAGAATATCTAAAGAACTCAAAAAAGCCAGGCATGGTGGTGCACACCTGTAATCCCAGCACTCGGGAGGCTGAGGCAGGAGGATCGCTGTGAGTTTGAGACCAACCTGGGCTACATAGTGAGTTCCAGATCAATCTCAACTACATAGTGAGACCCTGTCTCAAAAAAAAAAAAAAAAAAAAAAAAAAAGAAAAAGAAAAAGAAAATAAAATTAAAAAGTAAAGAACTAAAAAAAACTCAGAGCCCCCAAATTTAAAGATCCAATGCAAAAATGGGCAACTGAAATAAAAAGACACTTCTCAGATGAAGAATTAAAAATGGTAAATAAATATATGAAAAAATATTTAACATCACTGGTCATTTGTGAAATGCAGATTAAAACAATGCTGAGATTCCATCTCACTCCAGAAAGAATGGCTGCTATAAAAAAAAAAATCAATCAATAACAAATGCTGGAGGAGCTGTGGGAAAAAAGGAACCCTTCTCCACTGTTGGTGCGGAATGTACTCTAGTGCAACTACTGTGGAAATCAGTGTGAAGATTACACAAAAAAACTAAAACTAGAGGTTCCATTTGAACTAGCTATACTCCTTCCTGGTATCTTCTCAAAAGAATTAAAAGCATATAACACCACAACGATATGTGCACCCCCATATTTATAGCAGCAGTTTGTAATAGCTAAATCTTGGAAACAGCCCAAATTCCCATTAACTGACAAGTGGATAGGAAGGTGTGGGGTTTTTTTCTACAATAGAATACCACTCTGTCATAAAGAAGGATGAGCTTCAGACAAATATCTGAAGGGATGGACCTTGAGACCATACTCTTTAAGTGAAATAAATCAGACACACATGTTCGAACACTGCATTGTTTCTCTGGTGTGAGAAACTGAAAGTGGAAATAAGGACTGAAATGGATGTTTCAAAATGGGAAGAAAGTGTTCAAATGGGAAGGGGAACAAGGGAAAAGGGGTAAGGGAAAAAGGAAGGGACAAGAAAAAAACTGAGGGCTGGGGATTTAGCTCAGTGGTTCTGGCACCTGCCTTGCAAACACAAGGACCTGAGTTTGATCCCCGGTGCCAAAAAAAGTGAAAATAGAAGAAAAAAATGGAAACAATGCTTTTGTACACAGGAAGGGGAGGGGGCTTGGAGGGGGGACTGGGATAAAATAAAATTTATTTTTAAAATTTTATTACAATGAAAGACACATTGCCATGAATCTTCCTCAAAACACTTCCCCTCACTTCAAACATGCTTATCCCAGTGTTCTTGTCACTTTCTGAAGCAGTTCTGAAAGTTCTCTTTCATGAGTAGCTTCACCAAATCTGATAAAAAATACAGTGAATGCTGCTGTCAAGTGCCAAGTGACATCAACAAAAAGGCAGGATTGTAAAAACATTCCAGTGTGTCCTTATCACCTTATTCCCCAGCTCTGCAACTATGTGACTTCTGGATCTTCCCCAAAGTCAAAATGACCATGATAGCTCATGGGTGGAATGTTAGAAATAGGAAGTGGGCAGTATGAAAAAAGTGCCCCCAAAAAGGTGAATAAGGATAAATAATCTAAGTCTTGGATGTGAAGCTGAGGAGCACAAATTTTATTCTGCAGCATTGGAAATCGAAGAGGACAATGATATGATAACATTTACATTTTAAAAAGGTGGTAGTGGAAAACACTGGAGGAAAAGCAGAACAGTTTGGAAATGATTGGCAATATCATGTCTGGGTCAAGATTGATCTATTGCAGTTTAGACAGCAGACAAATTCCATTTTCAGTCTGCTAAAATAAACTTTTCCTTTTAACTCTTAAAAATAAAGACCATGAAACCTAAACATTTTGAATCCATGTATTATATTGAAGCAGCCACAACAGTGCAAATAAAGACACTCAAGAAAAGACTTCTTGTTCCACTTTAGAAAGTGGAAAGAAAGATGGGATAAGTGTGTTTGAAACAAGAGGGAATATTCTAATCAGAATTTTTGGTAATATGTCATTTACTGTAATAATGTTTTTAATTTAAACATTCTCCATAGTTTTTGTTTAAATCACATCCTGTATTGTAATGATTCAGTTAACTTGTCTGGAATTGGTAGTATTACCTCTTAATCTGGTAGGACACAGAAAACTTTCCAATGTCACATGTATCATCATTGTGGAAATACTACCACTCAAAGTAATATCTTTTATTTTTTAAATTGAGTTTATTGGTACATTTTAGGTATACAGTAGTTACAGTCATCATTGGGATCTTGTATATTTACATGACGGGCAAAGTAATATTACCACATACCTCTTTCTTTTCCTCTTCTTGCTCTATTCCAGAATGAATGGCCAGAGAAGCTTGGAATTCAGCACTCAGTCCTGACTGATACTTATAAACCTGTTAGAAAGTCCAGTTATACAGTGTCAAAATTAAAGTTTTTATCTATTCTTTTCTTATGCAACCTTGACTTGACTGCATTAAGCAAGCAAGCAAAAAAAAAAGCATGTGAGAATAAAAGCAAAAAAGAATGAAAGGAAAAACTTTCAGTAGCAAAATCTTAATAAGCCGAAGAAAAGGTATCAGAAGGGATGGGGATTTAGCTCAGTGGCACAAGTTCTTTTACATAGAGGTCACTTGGAATCATTCTGTCATAAATGTGCTTAGAAATGAATACAGGATATAAAGTCAAATATCTTAATATCTCTAATCTACAGTCACACTCAATCTATACAACTCTCGATTGGCATGAGTTAAGAACATGGGAATATTAAAAAAAATTATCTGGCATGGCATGGAGGAAGCTCGGGCTAATTTCTCACAATATTTTCTAGGAAAGCCTTATGATGACATAGGTGGTATACATATTTGGATGTTATATAGGCCAAATTATGATCCCTAATTTTTTAGATAGAAAGTGTTTTATCTCTTTAAAAATTATTTATCTTTCAGGGCTGGGATTTAGCTCAGTGGTTCCACCACCTGCCTCACAAGTGCAAGACCAGAGTTTGAGCATCAGCACCAAAAAAAAAAATTTGTCTTTCAGCAAGGTTACAGGATATAAGATGAATATATAAAAATCAACTGTGATGAATAATCTGGAAACAAAATTAAGAAAAAATCCATTTACACTACTATAAAAATAAAATACTTAGGAATAAATTTAACAAGAGAAGTGTAAATTTTATACTCTGAAGCCTACAAACCATTGGTGAAAGAAATTAAAAGACACCTAAATAAATGGAAAGACCACTCACCTTCATGACCTGAAATATTAAATACTGTTAAGATGACAAGGGAAACTACGTGGTCAAGCAAAAACCATACGCTGGGGATTTAGCTCAGTGGTTCCGCCACCTGCCTGGCAAGCACAAGGACCTGAGTTCAATCCCCAGTACCAAACCCCCCCGAAAACATAACACCTTCTGACAGATGACATAATTAGTAAAAACAAAACCAAAAACAAAAACAAAAAAACAACAACAAAAAACCAAAAACTACAAGAGCTAAGAGGATTTGTCCACAACCCCCAAAATAATGCCTCAAGAGCTAAAACTGACCTTCACAAATATTTACATATCTGTAATGCAATATATATTTACATACATATATATATATATATATATACACATACATACACATATACATAGAGAAAGAGAGAGAATAATATTAAAAGCTAGACTATATATAAAAAGGAAGCACTAAAGATTCCACCAGTCTCTCCTGGCAGTGTCCACTAAACCTATAAACTATAGGCATAACAAGTTTTGATTATTAATTTTACTAGCTGTATCAAAAATATCAACAAAAACACATGCTGGGTTTGTAGACAAATGCCCACTTGTAATACAGCTGGGCTACTATAGTGGATATTTCTTCCACAAAAAAATGATTAGCTAGGGCCAGGGGTTTAGCTCAGTGGCACTGCACCTTCCTTGCAAGCACAAGGTCCTGAGTTTGATCTCTGGTACTGCAAAATAAATTTTTTTAAAAAGATTAAATAAAGCTTTGAGATTTTATTAAATAGCTACAAAGTGCAGTGACAATTTTAAAGCTTGGTACCAAGGTCTAATGTCTCTCAATGGCCAACAAATAAAACTCTTCATCAAAAAGTTCATAAAAGCAGGGATTTGGCTCAGTAGTTCTGCTGCCTGCCTTGCAAGCCCAAGGGCCTGAGTTCGGTCCCCAGTACCAAAAGAAAAGAAAAGTTCATAAAATATTTTTGGAACCACAATACTCAGATACAAAAAAGCAGAAATCCTAATTTACCTCAGACTCCTAAAACTCCTATGATAAAAGATAACCATAACTCACAAATATTTTCAGGTTTGTGATAAATATATCTAACATCTACTACAAGAAAACTCAACTATCACCTCTTTGTTAAAAACAAAAATTCATACTTACAATAAATGGGACAATGCCACCCAAAATATAAGTTGGATTCTACACAAAGCTATAATCACACTATTGTGTTAAAATGCTGGCCTGTTTGACACTGACTAAAAGACAAGAACTGAGAAAAGATGGTCAGCCAATGGCTCTGTGGCACAAACCTATGGCCTTAGCCTCTAGGATGGATAAAAAGATATACACTACAATACCCATGAGTACAAGGATGCTGGGTTAAAACCACATAGTGACCAACCAACCTCCCAGTCTTGCAACATTGATAAACCAGATCAGTTTTTCACGTGTATAATTATTTGATCTCTCTCTCTTTATTCTCCAGCTAAGACTTAAAAATATAACGGGGCATATTGAATCTCTTACTAACCATACCCAAAAGGTGCTAAGGGATGCTACAAAGTGCCATATTTGGGATATCATTTTCTGAACCCTAATAGTATCAAAGCAAGCTACAGATTTAACATAATCCTTATCAAAATCTCATGGCATTTTTTCATAAACACTAAAGTCCTTTCTCAAATTAATATTGTATCTTAAAGGACTACAAATAGCCAAATAATTCTGAAAAAGAATGAAGGTCTTACACTTGATTTCAAAACTTATTACAAAACTACAGTAATCAAAACAGCATGGTACTGGTATAAATACAGGCTTACTAATCAATGGAATAGAATCAAAAGACCAAAAATAAACCCAGGCATAGATGGTCAATTGCTTTGGACAAGGGAGTCAAGATCACTCAATGAAGAAGGGACAGTCTCTTCAAAAAAATGGTACTGGAAAAATGGACATTCATGTGCAAAAGAACAAAACTAAATGCTTACCATATACCATATACAAAAACTAATTCAAATGGATCAATGACCTAAACATAAGAGCTAGAACTATAAAACTCTTAGAAGAAAACACAAGAGAAAAAGCTATACGACAGTGGATTTGGCAATTTCTTAAATACAATACTAAAAGCACAGGCAACAAAAATAAAAAACAGAACGGGAGAGGGAACAAGAGATGGAAGAAAAGGGGAAGAGGGTAGGAGAAAGGGACATAAAAAGAATTAAGACGTATTATATACATGTGCCAACTCCTCATGATGAACGTAATCATAATGTCATGCCAACATTGGAAAGAAACTTTCCTTTTGCACATTAGAAGATACTATCAATGGAGTGAAAAGCAACTAAGGAAATCAGAGAAAATATATGCAAATCATATATTTAATAAGGAGTTAGTACCCAGAACACACACAGAGCTTCTACAATTAAAAAAAAAAATACAACAACAACAAAACCTGATTTAAAAATAAGGAAAGGATTGGCATAGGAAAAGACTTTATGAACAAATCCTCAGTAGGACGGAAACTAGCAGAAAGAATCAACAACTAGGATCTCATCTTATTAAAAAGCTTCTGCACTGCAAAAGAAACCATCAACAGAACTAAGAGACAACCTACAATGTGGGAAAAACTTTTTACCAGCTGCTCCTCAGACAAAGGACTCTTATCTAGAATATATAAAGAACTCAAAACAATCAGCCCCCCCCCAAATATAAAGACCTGATTCAAAACTGGGCATCTGAAATGAACAGACATTTCTCAGACAAAGAAGTAAAAGCCGCAAGTAAATATATGAAAAAACGTTCCACATCACTGGTCATTCGAGAGATGCAGATGAAAACAACACTGAGATTCCACCTCACCCTACAAAGAATGGCTGCTATCAAGAAATCAAACAATAACAAATGTTGGTGAGGTTGTGGGGAGAAAGGAACCCTTCTCCGTTGTTGGTGGGAGTGCAGACTGGTGTAACCACTATGGAAATCAATATGAAGATACCTCAAAGAGCTGGGACTAGAGGTTCCATTTGACCCAGCCATCCTTCTGCTGGGTATCTTTCCAAAAGAATTAAAAGAATCATACCACAGTGATATATGTGCACCCATGTTTATAGCAGCACAGTTTGTAATAGCTAAAATTTGGAAACAGCCCATTTGCCCATCAGCTGGAAACTGCATAAAGAAGATGTGGTTTTTCTATAAAATGGAGTACTGCTCAGTCATAAGGAATGAGAAACTAGAGTCAATCATAAGAAAATGGATGCATATTGAGGTCACAGTCTTAAGTGAAATAAATAAGTCACACACGTGTAAATACTGAATAGTTTCTCTGGTGTGAAAGACCATAAATATAAATGAGATCCTAATGATATAACTGACAATGTGAAATAGGAAGAAAAGGGCTAAAGGTGTAGGGAAAGTGGGAAGGGTAGGAAAGGTAATAAAGGAAAAGAAAAAATATGATAAAATGAAAAAATGGAAATAAAGTGTTTGTAAATGAAGAGGGGAGGAGAAGATGAAGGGAGGGTGGGGACAAGGGGGAAAAAATGAGAACCAACACCTGTCATGTAAAGGTACAAGATCCCAATGATGAATGTAACTGTACTGTATACCTAAAATGTACCAATAAACTCAATGAGAGAAAAAAAATTTTTTAAAAATAAGGAAGGGGCCAGGGATGTAGCTCAGTCGTGCTGTGACTGCCTGGAAAGTGTCCTGAGTTTGATTCCCAGTACCAAAAAATAAATAAATGAAAATAAAACTAAGTTAAAAAAATAAACAAGGGCTTGAATCAAATTTCTCTAAAGAAGACAGCAAAATGGCCAATTATCATATGAGAAGATATACAATTTCAGTAATATTACAAAGTGCAAATCAAAATCACAATGAGATATCACATCTCCTTTATTGGAATGACCATTATTTAAAAAAACAGAAAATAACAAGTATTGGTGATGATTTAGAGAAATTAAAATGGAACCCTTTTGCAATGCTAGTGGGACTTTAAAAAGGTATAATCACTTTGGAAAAGTGTATGGCAAGTCCTCAAAAAATTAAAAGTAGAATTCTCAGTCAGGTATTGTGGCACACAATTGTAATCATCATTTGGGAGGCTGAGGCAGGAGGATCAAAGAAACAAAATAACAGAATTTCAC